ACTTAGAATATTAATATTAATTCAGCTGTGTTACTAAACTGTTTTGTTTGTGCCTGTGCTCCTGGCCCTAATTGTGCGGCCTTCGGGAGTAGAATCCTTTGATTTTGTTATTGGTACAAAAGGGATGATGAGAATGATGGTTTACTAGTTGATGAATTGAGCAAATTCAAATAAAATGCCTTTAATTGGAGGACAACATGCATTTATACTTGTTAAGAACATAGGCAGTCACTGTAAACATTTTAAGAAATGTTTCTTGACATACACATTCTTATGGGGAATTAATAACTTATTTTTTGGTTAGTGTTAGGAGTTATTCAGATTTGAGGGCAACAGCAAGAAGTCTTTTTTTCTCTTTTTGAAGGAAGACAAAGTCTCTTAAAAACTTAGGTAATAAGGGATTGATTTAAAAAAGCATGTAGGGTCACCTGGCTGGCTCAGTCAGTAGAGCATGTGTCTCTTGATCTCAGGGTTGTGAGTTCAAGCCTCACGTTGGATGTAGTGATTACTTAAAAATAAAAAAAAAAAATGTAGTGTGTATACTTTGAACTTAACCTCAGAATTATAGTGACCACACAGCCGGTTATATATTTAGAGAATCAGGTGTACCTCACTTAGTTTTCTCATTTGTTAAATGGAATAATAATAATAATTCACTGTTTCACCTTATAAAGTAATTGGGGATTAAATGGAATCATTTACATGAAAAGTTTAGTACAGTTCCTGTATAGTGCTCAAAGACAAATGTTATTGATGAGTAGTAACATTAATGGAATACTAAAATGTTTTGATTCTTTAAGTTCGTTATGGTGGCATTTTTTCCATATCCATAACTAAAGTTTAGAGTGTGTGCATATAAGTAATATTTTCCTTGGGGATACTTCTCTTATTTTTTTTTTTTTAATTTTTTTTTCAACATTTATTTATTTTTGGGACAGAGAGAGACAGCATGAACGGGGGAGGGGCAGAGAGAGAGGGAGACACAGAATCGGAAACAGGCTCCAGGCTCTGAGCCATCAGCCCAGAGCCTGACGCGGGGCTCGAACTCCCGGACCGCGAGATCGTGACCTGGCTGAAGTCGGACGCTTAACCGACTGCGCCACCCAGGCGCCCCACTTGTCTTATTTTTTAACTCAGCCTCTGCTTTTTTTGGTGGTCTCAAATACATGTCATCGTCATCTACCATTCTTTCACGTATAAACCCATAATTATTTGCTGAGTGAATCAATAAATATTCTAAATGACTCTTGGTTTTTCTCATTTTTGGATTTCCTACCCAGATTGTTTTTACTCTTTTAATTAGTGTGAATCATATGAAGTTGTCATTTTTCGCTAGTTCAGGAATAGTTGGTTGCATATCAGTCTAATGGTTCACCCTAGCAGTAAATTTGTAATAGTCTTCTTTCATCATTTCCTGCTCCTGCTATTTTCTGCTATTTCTGCAGCTGTTTTTAAATCCCATCTGTGACCATTTTCTTTATCCTGGGTTTGGGGGGGGGGGGGGGGAGGGTTCCTCTTCTACTTTTTGCTTTGTACTCTGTTACCTTCTTTCGTCTCTTTTTTCTCTGTTTATGGAAGCTCTCTCTGTGTATTTCTGGTAACCTGGAGACTTTCTTGGTGGGCTGTTGCTATGGACATGTAATAACAATTTCTAATGCACATTTCTTGAAGAGCCCAAAGTTAAGGTGTTAGAACAGGAGAAGCTAGCATATTTTTATTTCTTCTACTTCCTTGAATTGAATGTATAACATTGACAATAACAGTGGTAGATTGTAGTCTAAAGGTAGGTGAATCTTCTCTGTTGACCATAATTGGAGAATATCCTCTTTTCTAAACTTCCCATCTTTAGGGGTACCTGGGTGGCTTAGTTGGTTAAGCGTCTGACTTTATCTCAGGTCATGATCTCATGGTTCGGGAGTTCGAGCCCGGCGTCCGGCTTGTGCTGACAGCTTAGACCCTGGAGCCTGCTTTGGCTTCTCTGTCTCCCTCTCTGTCTGCCCCTTCACTGCTCATGCTCGCTCACTCACTCTTTCTCAAAAGTAAACATTTAAAAAAAATTAAAAACATTTTTTTAAACTTCCATTTTTACAGCTCAGGCAAAAATCTTAATTACTTATTACATGATCCCTGTCCTGAAGTTCTGGTCTCTGGTTTTATCGTAGTGCCTAGATAAAACCTGTCTGCAAGGATAGCAATTTTCTGCTTGAGGAGAAGTTGTAGCCTAAGGGAGAAACAAGTTATCTTTGAGACGGAATGTCTCTTCTAAGGAAGAGGATATTTAAAGATCTTAGCTTCTGTGTCCTGACTCTAGTCTTTCTCTGTTAGTTTATCCACTGAATACATCACTTTGGCTTGCCAACAGTCAGCTTTCTGCATCCTAAGAAATCTTTCCCTCAGCTATATTCTCTTCCTGTGTTCCTTTCTCTGATTCTCAACATATTAGAATTTAAAAAATAATATTCTTTACTCATGGCCTTACTGCCTCTTTTTTTTTTTTATATATATTTTATTTTTAGGTAATCTCTACAACCAACGTGGGGCTCAAACTTACAACCCCAAGATAAGAGTCGCATGCTGCATTGACTGACCAGCCAGGCGCCTCTATTGCCTCATGTTCTACTTAATATTTTAGAGCCTGGCTTTTATATGCTTGCTACTTTCTTGAAAGTTGTTTTCAGGCATTTAAAAATCTTGTTGCCAATTTCAGTGGCAGTTTTTTTGGTTGTCCATGTTTTTGACTACATTTTGCATTGACAACTTTTTGAGGATTCTCTAGTGTTTTTGAATTTATCCATTCCTGATTCATCTTCAGTCTTTGATTACCTGCTTAGCTCTTCTTGAGTCCTAAAATTCCAGCATTTCCTCAAGAGCCTCATTAAATTTCTTCTTTCTCCTCATTGTTTTCTTTGTTAGCAATATCATAGTTCAATTTAGTCTTCTAGAGGAACCCCTCCCAAATCTGTATTTCTAGCTATGTTTGTACATCCAGATTTCAGCCCTGCATTTCTGGCTTCTGCCAGTTAACTTTGTGTGCCACTGATACATCAACCCATTATGTTCAAAAGAGTGTCGGCTTCCTGTTTCTGAATTCCAGATATATCCAGCTGGTTGTTCAAGCTTGAAACCTTAGGGACTTCTTTGATTCCTTTTTATTGTTGGAATTTTGTTTTTTATAGCCAATCTTTTTTTTCTTTTTTAATACCCATGTATTGTCTTGTATATATACTACAACACTATTCTCTTTGCTGCTGTTTTTTTTTTGCATTATTTGACTGATTAATTACCCTGCATTTCCCACTCTCCATACTCATCTACATGATTAATTTTAAAGCACAGTACTCATGTTTTCCTTATCTTAGTATTTTTTGATTCCCTCTTGCCTATGGAATAAAATCTAGGCTTTTAGGCCTAGTATTCAAGGCCTGATATATGATGCAGTTAGTATGGTTGGAAGCAGGATGGAGAAGAATCAGGTTTGATGTTTGACTATAGGAGTGGGAAATAAAGCCAAGCTGTTAGTCAGAGAACCACATGTTTTTGAGTGTGGTTATCTAACAGGTAATTAATACTCATCCCATCTAAAAAACATTGAATCATATCTGTGTCCTTATAGCACTAATTCCTTTATTATTAATAATCCTTCCCCGAAGAATAACGTTGTCTTAATATTCTACCAAGGTTTAAACTCTTCCTTTTAGATCTTGTCATTAGTTTTTTTTAATGTTTATTTTTTATTTTTGAGAGAGATAACGAGCAGGGGAGGGTCAAGGGTGGGGGTGCACAGAGGATCTGAAGCAGGGCCCAAGTTGCTCTTAGCATCCTGATGTGGGGCCTAAACTCATGAAGTGTGAGATGACGACCTGAGCCGAAGTCGGACACTTTACCAACTGAGCCACCCAGGTGCCCCAATATCATTTCTTACTCATGTACTCTGAATATTTTTGTGTGTGTGTTCTAATTATTTTCTGGCGCCCATAGGCCGCCTCTTTAGAGGAATTCTTGCCAGTCCCAACAAAAAAAGTAATTGTTTTAAGTGACTGGTTTAGTTTGAATAACTACATGACTTGTTAATTTGCTTGATTCTTTCATAGGAAGGACCATTAAGACCTGTTCTGGAATACATTGATCTGATCAGCAGTGATGATGAAGAGCCTAGCACCTCCCATAGTGATGTAAGTACATTATATTTGATTTGCATTTCTTTCACTTTAGTCATTTAAGAGGCCTTGTCTAAAACAATTATCAAGTCAATGATGGCTGTGTTTAGGAGCTGTAGTACTTTAGTGAATGGCCCATTTCTATAGAATGAGCCATAGAAGGTATCCATTGAGTCCTTTGCCCAGAACATCTCCTACTTCCAGTTTTGTTTTTTACTTTCAGTGAGAATGTGAAAAGATAACATGATACAGCCAAGTTGTAAGACTTGAAGATGGTATCTGATAAAAGAGAAATGGAATAAAAACTGCAAGTGTTTTGGCTCCTTGTGCCATTCTCCTTTCGTATCTCTCCTTAGGTGCCATGTATAACTGGATCCTTTTCTTCCAGAACCATGTGGCCACAGAAAATTTGTTTTATCTTGGAAGAGAGGATGTGTGAAGATCCTTTAGAAAATGGAATGTGGGGAAGGGTTATAGGTGGTATAGTACTTCAGTTGTCATTCCTTTTAACCTTCTCTATTCCTCACATATTTAGGGTTTTTTTTTTTTTTCTCTTACCTGTGATTTATTGGTTGTGGGTTTGACCCTTAAACTAATACTTCCCTTACTCTGAGAACCAAACTAGCTGAGCCCTTTGTAGCAACCTTGTCTTTCTTTTGTCTTAGCCCAAGTTTCTATTAATGGGCTATTGTCTTGATGGATTGATGGGTTGGAGACTCCTGGCCGGAATACTTCTTGCTTTATATTACAAGGGATTGAGACTTGGACTTGGAATCAGTATGCCTAGGTTTTAGCCTGAGCTTTACTCCTTAGTAATTTTGTGACTCTGGATAAATTAAGTAGCCTTTAATCTTAATTTCTTTATCAGATAATAATACCTACCTCACAGGGTTGTTGTGAGGACAAAATGAAGTGACAAATACATACTATGTAAGCTCCTTGGAAACTACAAACCGTAAAGTAGGACTATGCACCTGGCAAGTTTGATCATTATTCATTTATGTTATTCATGGAGAGGGAACAAGAATCTTTAAAGGACTTAAAAGTGACTCTTCAGTGGGGACTTTGAGAAATATTTTTGTGTGTATGATTTTCAGTGGAACTTTTCCCAAGTTCTCTATACTATTATAAACTTCTACTTGTTGACTTACATACATTGGATGGGATTTTTAAAAAAAAGATTGTTAATCACCAGTAGTCTCACCACCTCTTCTTGTCCTAGAAGAAGACTGAGCAGTAGGCTAAGATGGCACCAATTGAACTGGGCTTGTTTTTACTCTCTTTTTTAATAGAGTGCCAGATTATTGCCAGTAGTTGGTATTGGGTTTTGGGGGTAGTGAAGCTTGTGGCTTTGACGTCTATGATCCCCTTGCAGACCTGTAGTGGATTGCATCTTTCATTGTTGTTATAATAATTTAAAAAATTGAGTTCTGCTTACTGGTCATGCATCTCTGCACTTGAAAGTTAACATATTAAAAGCATTTTTTTTTCTTCCTTGGTTTTCTTGTTCATGTGGATAACCCAGAGAATGCCTGAGTCTAAGGTGCCATCCTCTGAGAATCATCGCCCAGAAATGTGCTCTAGCTGCAGTGTTCCTCTTCCCATTGGAGACAGCAGCTCCTCCTCTGGGAGTTGCACCAGCAGTCCACAAAGGATAGTTTCTCAACCTTCTTCTGTTGAGAACCCATTGGAGAACCAGAAAAATGATCAAAGTAATTCAGATATTAAGATTTCTGAGACAGAGACACTTAAACCATCACAAAATTATCAGACTCTGCCTTCATCTCCAGTTCTGGTCCCCCAAGAATCTTTGGCCTCTTCAGAGGTCAAGGAGGATTTACCTGTAGAGTCTTCTTCAGCTTCACAGCATGGACAAGATGCCATCCTTTATCTTCAGACACAGGTGGCTGAGATGTCACGAGTGATACGTGATCTGCAGTCTAGGAGCTGTTTTAGATTCCATCATTCTAGGCCAAGTGAGAACTCCTCAGTTCCGTGGGACATCTCCACCTCCAAGGATGAAAATTTATCTACGGTTGATGAAGAAGCTGACTGCAAGTCCCCCTCAGCTGATGACAAAGGGCAGCCAACTGATCCCAGTCAGTCTAGTTTCACAGGTCTTTTGAAAAGAATGGAACAAAGAGGTGTTATAAAGAGAGTAACATTACAATCTGAAGCAGAATCATGTGAAGGGAAACCTGATTATGTGACCTCTAAGAAACGTTTGGTTCCTCCATTGCATCCTCTTCTGAGAATTGCCACCACTGAGGTTTTTAAAGACCCTGCTGATTGCCATCCTTCTTCCTTCATGGGGCACAGAGTATATCCTGTGGCCAAGGATACCTCTCCTTTCCAACCAAATCCACCAGCCGAGGGCCCTATTGTAGAAGCACTAGAGCACAGCAAAAGAGGAAGCACAACATCTCCTCTAGATTCTACCTCAAAAGAAATGGAGGTCATGGGTTGTAGATTCTACCATGCTGCTTCCATTGCAGCCCGAGCTGCTAGTTACATGGCCTATATGACTCAATATCAGCGTAAACTCTGGGAAGACATGGAGGATCTGGTTCATGACCCAGAGTTTGATCGTGGAAAAGCAAGATGTATAATATCGGATGGTATGGATGCTGGCCTTTGGCAGCTTTGTACTACTAGGGACATAATGGATTCTGTAGTCAGAGTTATGGCCATGGCAATAGACTACAGAAGACAAGCCTGGCTCCGACTTACATCTCTCACTAAGAAAACCCAGGAGAAGATCTCACACTTACCCTTTGATGGTACTTCTCTCTTTGGACAAGATGTAAATGCTGTTGTTGCAGAAGAAAATAGTATAAAAGAAAATGATTATAGAGACCACAACAAATACTATAACCAACATCGATACTTTTATAGTCATGATCAGAAAGCACATTATCACAATAGAGGATATTCCAAAGGAGATTGGTACAAACCTCGAAACCACCCCTATAGATATAGAAAAAAGGGAGAATCTCCAGAACGCCATGGGTACAAGAATTAATAACCTGTTTGCATTCAGCAGTGTAGTCATCCAAGATCCTAACTATTTTACTTGTTCCTCCCCACTCAAACAGGATCTACAGGTAGGAGGTCACCTCAGAAAACAAATGCATGTCTGGAATTATCACAGCTAACATGTAATTCTAGACTTTTGAAATAGAGACTTATGTTTTATTGGCCAAGTGACAGTAGAGACGTCCATCTGAGTAGGGTTGGACAAACGTTTACCCATTATATCTGGTCCAAAGTAAGTTCAGAGGAGGGTACTCAGGAATCTGAATCCTCTTGTGCTTAAAAAAATATAAATGATTTGTTCCTCAGGAAAATCTTACTGGTAAACTGAGGACTAGCAGATCTGGGGCCTGGAAATAACCTGCTACTAGGTCTCTGTTTACTAATGCCAGAGGCAAATCCTTCATTTTTATGTCATCAGTGCTTCCTTGTTCGGGCTTCACCTTGTCAGATCTTCACAAAATGACAAATCTGTTGTGCTCTGTTTATGTCAGGACAATCTGACTCTTCAAGAGTCCATACTACTCTCAAGCTCTCTGAGACTTCAGCATCAACCGTGCAACTCTGTCAAGAACTGGAATACAAATCAAATTTTGCCAAATCCAGTTTGCTTCCAGTAGGATGGCTAGATGTTACAGGTCTCCTGTGGACACCAGCTGGAAAAAGACTTTCCTTCTTGTAACATCTCTAAAAATTTTCACAGTAACTGTCCGTATCGAGACTGATGGCTACAGTGTCATTACCACTCAAAGCTACATGTGAAAGAATTCTTTGTTATCGTCATGGCCTAAGTCTTTGACCTGTCAAGCTCTCACATATAAACAAGCTGTGAGACCCATCATGGTGTTCTCTCAGGATATTCTAGGCCTTTCACCAAGATGACCTTCTTAAACAAACCTACCTTCTAAACAGCTAAACTTTTTGAGCTTGATAATTCATCACTCTAAACACAAAAAGGAAATGTGCATTAGTGTCCTGGAAATAAAGGATGTTCTACAATCCAGGCATGCAAATCTGAACTCTTAATAGAATTCCAAACATGCCTGACAATCTGGTCCTCTTACTGTAATAAAGAGGGATGCCATCAAATAGATGATGTTGAGAATCCTTAAGTGTTAGAGTATAACTATGGATGTAGTAAAGAGAACATCTCATGCAGTTCTGTTTCTGGATATCTGTTTAAATGATAACATCCAGTAATGATTTCTTAAAAGTCTGGAATCAAGACTTCAGTAACATGTTCTTGGTTTATTGGTCCCTTATTCTAGTCAGACTCTTAATCATGAGAGACGACTTAATCTTTTTGCTCCAAGTTGGTTCCATTAATAGTTCTTCACAATTCTGGAACTGGCAGCAGATACCTCAATTGTATATTCCACAGTATCTTTTTAATCTCAAGGCAGTGGCTGTGCAGTATACCAGTCCTTAGATCCTCGTTTTCGCAGCATGACTTCAAAAATGGAAGAAGTGTCAAGTTTGAGGGGTCAGAGTCCATCACCTAGTATTATTTGCTTGACAGCCCCCCAAAATTTTTTTTTATCAACAGACTTAACATTTTGTATCTTCTTAGTTTGTAAAACATCTGCATTTTTTCATCTGCTTGGTCAAAATATTTTGGATCTACTGTTAGTGGAATATAACTGTTTTAGGGTTCATGTGGTTTCTATTTCTGCCGTAGTTCTTGCACAGTGGTGATTTACATTTTCCCTAGTGCCCCACTTTTTAATAGTTGAAGCTCATTCCCCCTCCATTGTAACTATATTCAGTACCCTTTTTACTACTTTTCTTCCTCTGTCTGATTGTTGAAGACACAACAGAGGTTGAAGACTCATAAATCCCTACTTAGAAGTTATTTTATTTTGTCAGATAATTTCAGAGTACTATATTGGTCCCATTTGTAGATTAAGCTTAACAGACTTGATAGAGGAGATGATCTTGCACATTTGGTCATATCTAGACTTAACATTTACCTTGAAAGACAC